GGTCTGAAAAAATGTCTCAATTCGACTCTTCACGTTTCACTTTCAAGTTGATGATTGTAGTGCTTACGTTCATTTCATAACGTAAACCTTCATAATTTTTCATTAAAAAATTATTTTATTCCTCTGCATCTTAAATTGAACTAACAAAATGGGAAATTTCTTCCTAGAAGCCACGTAGATTACATTAATATTACGAAAATGTGTGCAATGCAAATTATGTTCCTGGATGAAATAACCTGTTTCAATACTTTGTGACATAATGTGATTTTCGAGAAAGTCCACAACTATGTGAATTTTATTGCTAGATCGAATATTAATTGCATAGCATGGCGGTAAAATTGGTTTAGGGAATATGCTTCAAATGAGCAGTTTACATTCGAAGGACAGTAGGAAGAAGGGTGATCTCAAGTACGGGAAATGGTGAAACACATATAAAGGTCATAAAAATCGAGACATAAATTTGGCTGTCAAATAATGTTTAATGATCTAATAAATATTATTTACAGACACAGTAAGAAACGAGAAGAGAGAAGAGGTGGAAGTGGAGGTTGCGCCTAGTAGGCGTAGCTGATGCCGTAGCCGTCGAAAGCCATGTGGGCGACGGCGGGGGCGGCGGAGTAGGCCCGACGCCCAGGAGAACCAGGCGGGGGCGACGGGCCTTGGCGACGGGGAGGCGGCGTAGGCGGCAGGGCGTAGGCGGCGGTGGGCGTGGTAGGCGGCGACGGCACGGGGCCGTGTAGGCGGCGACGGCGGGGCCGTGGTAGGCGGCGACGGCGGGCGCGGCGTAGCCGACGGCGGGCGCGGCGTAGCCAACGGCGCGGGCGCCGATGACGCCGGCGCGGGCCACAGCCACCAGGGCAGCGAGGAGCAGGAGCTGCGCACACAACACCGGCGCTTCCTTCAGGACAACTCCCCCTCCCCCTCCTCCTTCCCCTCACCTCTTCACCCCTCCTCACATCACTCGGCCGCGCGCAGCCCACGTTTTTGTCCTGGTCTCTCCACCAACTTACTCTAGGCAGCAAGGGTTCCCTCCGCCTATCCCCGGTGAAGCGGTTTCTTTTATTGTTGCTCCCTATTATTATTATTATTATTATTAATAATAATAAAAATAATAATAATATTTACCATTTTTCAACTGTTTAAACATTTAAGCTAAAAGATAGCGCCCAGGTACGGAGAATAAAAAAATATACATAATACAATATAGTTTCTTATAAAGTGCTAGTTATGATTTTCCGTTAATTGACTTCTAGATAATGAACAATTGTTAAGATGTCGTCAGCAGTGTCATAATGACAA